ACACTCGGGGTAGAGTCTGCTTAAGATTCTCTCTTCCTCTTCCTCTGACTCCCTTCCCCCAAAATCAGTAAATAATTCTTTTAAAAAATAAAAATCGTTACCCACTAAAGCTACCATGATATCTAGGAGTTGCCTTGCTTTTAAATCTCTCTACTTCTCTATCACATTTCTACCTAAAACATCAATCTCTTTCATCAGATGTGGTTGTCTCCTCCTTGATTAGATTATTTTGTATTATATTGGTTTATGGCCAGACAGGAAACATTCTTTAAAATTCCTGTCAACCATATTTACTTTGTTGACCAAAACACACACACACAAATTAAATATTAAGAGATAATCTTGGATTATCCAGACGCTCTTTCCTATTTTTTTGACTATTTAAACTGTCAGATTATGAGAGAAGACTACTACTAGTCCTCACTATGTTCGCAGATCCATAAACATGTGCTTATGTTTCTAAAAGTTCTTGATTTACACAAGTTTCTGCTCTGATGTTTCACAATTTTTGGTCTCTTGACCTGTCTTGGGCTGTGAGCATTTATATACTCCTAACATTAGACATTTTGACTTATTGAATCTTCTGTTGTTTCTGATTTAAGAAGTTGCTGGTTGTGTTATTTGGTGGTATTTTGTCAGGAATTGCAGTGTTTAGCTTTACAAAGTAGACTTAAGTAGTTTTATGCTTTTATGGTCTTTATTCACTCACATTGTATATTGGGGTATGAAACTATAGTATCTCATTATTTGAACTTGCTCAAAGTATTTTGTTCATCCCTTTATCATTAGCTTTTTTGAATAATGGTTTTTTAAACATATTTCTTTTATACAGTCTAAAGTTTGGGTTTGTGTGTATCTATGCATGTGTGCTTACCCACACATGCAACATAGTTAGAAAATATTTTCTTTTAAAAAATGACTTAAGCCCAGGGGCAACTGGGTGGCTCAGTAGTTAGTCATTCGACTCTTGTTCTCAGCTCAGGTCCAAGTTCAAGCCCCACACTGGGCTCCACACTGGGCATGGAGCCTACTTTAAAAAAAAAAAAATTAACAAGTCTCTAGACAGCACAACCAATCCATTTTACATTTGCCAAATCATTTATAATGGAAAGAAAAACAGGTGCCATTAGAAATCCCAAGTAACATTAAAAGCAGACAATAATGTAATACTATTTCTCAAGAAAAAGAGAAGAAAGCATAGGCGAAGAATTAACACCAGCAAGATATTTCTGACAATGATGAAGAAACAGGGAGCAGATTTACCCTCTTTCCTTAACTGAAAAATTAGACTAAATATGTGAAACAAATGTTCACACTTTGTACAACAAGCAGAAAAGGGCAGGATTCCTGGTAGAAGGGAAACAAATGAGATAACTGTTTAGAGTTTCTAGGCTGCAGTATGGGGAGAGAGAATCCAATTAGACAGTGGGCTCTTTAGGATGAAGAGACATAGTTGAGAAGTTTGAGATTCTGACCTGGCTAGAATTCACAGACAGAGTACCAGAGAGGAGAAAGCTATATGGAGACTACAAATGAAGGCAGAGAGAGACAGAAAGAGAGAGATCTGCAAAGGGTTTTCCTCATGTCTTTAACTGAGCACTTAGTTGAACTATGTGTGTGAGAACACTATCCAACACTGGTAAGGAATCACTGGAAAGAACAATTAGAACAGTTTCTGGGATGTGATTTTTCCATCCCTTCCCCTATGATCCTCTATGCGGTTTCTTATATTCCTCATATGAGTGAAACCATATAATAATTGTCTTCCTGTGATTGACTTAGTTCCCTCAACATAATACCCTCCAGTTATAATTTCCCTTTCTAATAGTAATTCCCTTTATCCATTTTTGCCATTGTTGTGCTGGTTTCAGAGAAGCCTCCAGTCTCAGGCTGATTTTACCTACTAAGGGAATACTCTTCTGAGTACTCCATCTGATGCCCAATCTATTACATTTTTTTTTTCTATTCTGGATGAAGGGAACATGAATTATTTCTGTCTTTGCATTCCAGAAACTGTTCTAATTCTTGATAGGGGTCCAGTTTATCTTTTGCGTATAGCTGTCCAGTTTTCCCAGCATGGTTTGTTAAAAAGACTATCCTTTCCTTATCAAGTATTCTTGGCTCTCCTGTCAAATATTTAGTTGACTGTAAATGTGTGGGCTTATTTTTGAGCTCTTGATTCTATCCATTGAACCGTGTCTGTTTCTATGACAGTATCATTTTGATTACTATTGTTTTGTAATATACAGTAGTTTGAAATCAGGAAGTGTGATACCTCTAGCTTTGTTATTCTTTCTTATGTTTGCTTCGGGTTTTCAGGGTCTTCTGTGACACCAGACAAATTCTGGAATTTTTTTTCTATTTCTATAAAAAATGTCGCCATTGGAATTTTGATAGGTATTGCATTGAATCTCTTGCATCTATTTGAGTAATATGGGCTTTTTATTGATACTAACTCTTTCAGTACATGAACAGAGGTTATGTTTTTATTTGTGACTTCTTCAAATTCTTTCATCAATTTCCTGCCCTGGCTTTTGAAAACTGCCTTCTGGCAACAAACTAGAAAAATCCTGGCATTTACTTCTTTCATTTCCTTTCCCTCAGAGATTATTGCCCTGTGCTGCCTGTTGTCCAGTATCTGAAAATACCAGTCATTAAATGTGGATGAAATACAGTTCCTCCTGGAAATGCAGGAAACCTTAATACTTTTCTTTCAAAGACCAGTTTCTAAATCAGATGATGCAGTGATCACCTCTAATTTTGGTAGATAGGTTTCTTACTTTCTCTTTCTCTACTTTTTATCATTGCTCTATATACATGAATTTATATTAATTCAATATTTTACTATCAATCACAGTCATTTTTGATGGATAGATTTTCCCAAATTTTCTCAATAGAATCCTCTTCAAGCTGTTTTCTATGTCCTTTGGAAATGCTCCTACTAATCTCTAAGAGTTTTCTTGCCTCATGACACAACAGAAAGTTGTGACCATAGAGTCCCTTCCCCCTACCTGAAATCAGCTATTTTGTTTTCCTTTCAGTATATCTAATTTACTGTAGTTTGTCTTTTTTGTCTTTTTTTTCTTTTTTAAAAATATTTATTTGGGTTTTCCTGGACCCAGATGATCCTGTTTCAGATGGAAAAGAAGTTTGTATGAATAATTATCTTCCTTAATTTTCTTTTACTGTAGTTTGTCTGGTATTTTTTTTTAAATAAATGACACATATTTTGATCTGTTTTCCAATCATTTGTTTACTCTGGTTTGGGGTCCTCAGCCAGTTCTGCCTGTTCTGGGTATTATTGTTTTCACTTATATACACAGTGAAATTTGTGCTATCATCTTTCTCATGGGTATACTCAGGGTGTATACTATGGAAGGTTATTCATGCTCTGATTGTTCTGAGTGGATTTTGGAGGATTCTAATTTGAAGGATTGGATCTTAGAATTTAGGTGGTCACCATTATTCTCTTGGGATTCTGTCTTTCTTTCTTTGTTAACTCTGGAATTACAACTTGTGGTTTTGTTGTTGTTTTGTACTATTTTGCATTGTTGCAGAGTGCTCTCAAGTATTGCCTCCAAAGTATTATACTTCCTACTTCTCATATTACTTGAAATACCATATATCACCCACCTCCTCACATTATATATTTGCATGTTTTTTTAGGCTAAATAGATTTAGTTAAAATTTTTTCTGCCAAAAAATTGAATTTATGTCTTTTATATTATTTCTATTTTATTCAAGAGATTGGTATCACAAGTTATTATCATCATATATGTGGGATAGTTTGTTGGCAACATGATGTCTAAAATGTCATATGAAACCTAATTAGTAAACTGTATACCAATAGTGGTTAATCAAGCAGACTGATCAATTTTAATATTTAAAAACTGGAATTATTCCTTTTAGAGACACCTCAAGAAAACCCTGGATTTTTCTTTCTTTTTTTTATTTGTAAAACTAATGGGAGTATTAAAATCTCAGTATTGTTATGAAAGGTCAATGAGCTACTCATGCAAACTATATTGCCTAGTATTTAGTAAGTATTTAATAACTTTTAATAGATAGACTTATTTTCTTTATATGTAATTTCTACATTTGAACTTTGCAAATTCAATTTGTAGTCACATTTTTTACATTTTGTCTTTGTCTCAAAAGAATAGAATTAGAATATACTTCTTGACTTAGCATTTTTATTGAACTTATAACATTCAAATTCAGAGCATCCAAAACATACCATACAGTGCTACATATTTTTAAATTTTATTTTCTTAAAAAAAAAGTCTGTGTTTATGTTTGTGTCCAAGAAATAAAATGCAGTTTTGTTTTCCAACAGATGATAGAGAATTTTGAAAATTAAAAGTAACTTTTTAAATAATACTGAATATATGTACTTTTGAAAGTATGGAAATTGAAAAAAGTAAAAACAGGATTGAAAATTCTTGATAATTCTATATTAAGATAACAGCTGTTAACATCTTAATAGTGTCCAATTTATTTTACAGACATCACTGTCTTGTAACACCATAGCTAAACGTTTACTCACAAATACAATTTTTGGTTTTGAATAGATTTTTAGAAGTATAATTGCTGAGTCAAAGGGAATACATGCATTTTATGCCATTGATAGGTCTTCCAAAATTGACATTTAAAAATATTTTAAAATATTGTGTCCATTGGTGTATGATTAGATTCTAATCCTTTGTATTTTTGTCAATTTTCAAAATTCAGATGAAAATCTTACAAACATAATGCGGTTTTATCTACGAAACCATTACCAGATAACAGAATTTCACTTATAATGCTCTGGTTTAAAATTGTTATGTATTTTTTTGTTGAAAAATGTTATAAATGATGGATCTATAAATACATTTTTAACCTCTAAATGCAAATTAGAAAATGACCCTATTATAAAAGTGGCATCATGTATCAAAAAATGATTGATTTGATATAACGTGTGATATACAATAGTAACGTTCCTTTTATTTCTGATTATACGGGCGATTATACTTCCCCACAGCCTTGAAGTCAGGAGTGGTAAGGTGACTAGTAGTTATGACTAGAGCACTATAAGTAGACCATCAGCTCTCCAGATGAAAAATAAAAATAAAATAAAATTATTCTAGTACATGATAAAAGACAAAAAAGATAAATCCTAGATATATTAAAGATCTATCCATAAAAAAAAAATTAAGGAGATTGTCCATATAACATCAAAATTGGGAAGAATTTTCAAAACATTATACCAAAAAAAGTCTTATGTATGAAATAAATTTGAAATAAAAAACTCTGCACTGCAAAAGTCAGACCAAGAAGAGGAAAATTGTGAGAATTCACAACGCCTGGCTAGATCAGATTTAATAAACACATGCCTCCCTGGGTGAAACTAGTTGAAAAGCAAAGGAGTGTCTGGAAAACTGGGCCTCCTTTGCAGTTTCTGGGCTGAAAACAGCCAGATCCTTTTTGCGGCTCAGTTCGCTCATCCAGGGAGTAAATGCTTAAACTTCAAAAACATTTATCTTCTGTGGTCAGTACTCCACACACTTCTTGCCTGAGCACACATCAGGATCACAGCTTGTTCTGAGGTTACTCCCTATGCCGCTGTCCTGATTATTATAGCTTCACATTCCTTTTTGTTTTTCTTATTCCCTGATGTACTGACAACATTCACAATAAAAGTAGAGTGAGTTTAGCTTGGGACATTTTGCCCCTAGTGTGTCTTGTCCCCACACCCTCTCCTTTCTCCTACTGAGGTGACTGGAGTAATCATTTCGTTCTCCACCTCAGGGTTGGCCAAACCCAATAGAAGATATAATACTTGGGGAAGATACCTAAATATTTTCATCATAAACAAAGATAAATGTATATGTGTGCATCTCTACACATATATTTAAAACTTCTACAAGTCAACAAGAAAAATAAAAATAACCCTAGAGAAAAATATGGCTAAAGGAAATGAACAGTAATTCTTATATTTTCTTTGAGAATTTTTCCATTCTTCCCCTTTGTTAACCCTTTTTCCCAATTCCTAATAGTCTTTCTTATAATTTATAAGGATTCATAAATTCTTTCTTGCGAAGAGACATTGTTTGATTGCTATGTCCTAGACATCATTTAAGAAGCCATTTTCACTTCCTGAAGTTCTTTATTCATATAAATACTTCATCCTAACACTGAGCTCAGGGAGACCCAGTACCCAGCTAGACGTGGTACAGTTTCCAGATTATCCTTGATTTTAGACAAAATATGATTCAACTAGTCTTTTGATTTTTTATATGTTTTTATATGTTTATAGTTTTTAAACAAATGATCAGTAATCTAAATAAATCAATGATTAGAAGATAACACACAATGTAGAAGAGTAGAATGGGAAAAAAATAGATCTCCACTAATCTTGCTGATGCTCATTTTGCTATTTTGCAATTCATGAATTATTTTAACCAGCCAAACTTCTAGTTAGTAAATCAAGAAAGGCCATGTAGATATGTCACTCTAGGATTTACTCTGATTTAACAAGAATTACTGAAAAGTAACCAAACCAACTGTAACTCAAGTTCTCAAAGATATGTTTGGATTTAGCCCAAAAGTTTAACTTCCTTTATGACTTCTCTTTCTTTGACCCAGGTTCCCCTCCCAGGTGCTTTTTCCGGTGCACTTACTCCAAGATCAATATTAGGCCCAACCTTCTAGTTTCTTCCATTTTCATTACATTGTAGTACGAGGAGGTAGAAGTTACCTTAATGTTTGCCTTTCTCTCTTATTTTTGTGCTGTTTCTCATCAAAGGACTTTTTTTTTTTTTTGGCATTATCATTGTCAATGTTCATTTGTTCAGAAAAAACTAAGATTTGCTTTTTATTTTTATTTACTCCACATCAATATAAAGCAGTACATTGATCATATGTTAAGATATTAATAATCTGTCAAAGTGTGAAATTGGAAACAACTTTAGTAAACAGGTGAAGGGTGACTTGTTATAAAGGTCTGGCTTTCGATACCTATAAAGAAATACTTACATCCAAAGTTAATTGTCAGTAATTCTGTGCCCCTTTTCCCCAGGATAGAATGTTTAAATTTTATCAAATGAAGCACATTTTTGAAATACTTGATAAAATGAGATGCCTGCGAAAACGTTCCACAGTGTCATTCTTGGGAGTTCTTGTCATTTTCCTTCTCTTTATGAACTTGTACATTGAAGACAGCTATGTTCTGGTAAGTTTTGGGGATTATTTTTGTTGTTGCTGTTACAAATAAGGTCTAAATCAAATTAAGCTTAGTCCAATTTTAACGAAACTTCAATCCCAGGCTGCTGAAATAGTCTTAGTTTGAGCAAAACTCTAACATGTATACTTTCTATCTAGCTACTTTTTGTATTAATTCTAGAATACCAGCATTACAATTATTTTGATTTATGTTGCAATATTTTCTTTAATGCTGCATATAGTAGCTCAGGGATGTATATTTGGCTATAAGTAAATTAGCTATCATCACTATGCTGAATTAATTTTATGTATAGCCATAATAATTTTTGAGCTTTAATTTGAAATATGTAGAATTTTTAAAAATTGCTTAAAGATATCAGTCCTTACTTTCTCAATTTTTTATATATCATCAAAGTTTTTAAAGTCTTATTTTTTAATTAATGGTACTAATTATGCTATTTTGTTAAGAAATAATATTTTATTATAATGTATGACACTTCACTTGATTTTGAATAGTCATAAATGGCCACCATGTTATGTATTTATATTCAGTGAAAAGTAGTATAGAACCTCAAGAACTAGAGATAATGATGTGAAAACTATTCAGTAGTTTAAAAAGGATAAATTAGTATATAATATGCAAATGAATTTTTAAGTAAATTCTAGAAACACACAAAAGGACTTACTCTGGCTAATTTTGAGATCTCAATTTGTTCTTTATTTGCTATCACTGTATCACACCAGTTCATGTCTGATGAGAATAACATGGACATTTTTTTAATTCAATTTCTGAATTGAGTTTAAGATATCTGGAAAAATCCCAATCTTTATGTTATTGCTCTTGTTCACATATTTCAGAAAATCAAAATCTTTGGACACAGAGAGGACTGAAAAGTACTTTCCACCAGGCAAGCATGCTGAAAGTTTCAATGACTATCTTAGCAAGAGAAAAATCTGCCAAAAACCACAAAAAGCATTTCCCAGTAAAATATTTTATTTCACTAATTGAACATGATCTTACCTACGCATTATTTGCCATGTACTATTCTATAATGATAAGCCAACCGTTTGATCTTAGTTGGGACAGATCCTCTCAGGAGGTCTTCTGTAAAGCATCTTGCTTCTGTTAGCATTGTTCTTTGATGACAAAATTCTGCCAGATTCTAGATCTTGACTATGCCTATGCCTTTTACATTCATACATGTTTCTTGATCTTGTGGTTCCTTCATTCTGTTTTCCATAGACAATTCACAATGGCTAAAATCTCCATAGACGAATAGAATTTGACTAGGCATAATGTAGGCAAACATAGCAAACTGGAGAAACTTACTAATGGCATGCACTTTGACCTTTCTTTAAACCTGATTATTAGGTTTATGAGACTTAACGACAATATAACAAGGCCCATGTGATCCCCCTATTTTTTTCTGGATGAAATTAAAGGTCATAAATTAACAAGGAGAGCCTTTGATCAATGATTTAATTTTGTAATAAAAATTTATTTCTTGCATCTGTGATTACTGGCAGCAGTAAATCACATCTTGTAAACCAAACACATGGCGTTGGCAGGATGTTTATTGTATTCAATGACTTGCTGCATTTGTGAGACACTTTTAAACCCAATTTCAGTGTTTCATTTTAAACAGACAAAAGACCATCGTATGCAGCAAACATCCTTATATCTTGTTGATATAGAACCTCTTCAAATTCATTATAAAATGTATAAAAAGTAATAGAGTGTATATCTGTAAGAGGATCAGATACTTTTGCCCTGTCTTGTGGATTTTTGCACATTTCTATCCAAGCTTCAGTCCTATGTATCTAATGTAAAAGGTGTGATTTAATGAAGCAATGCTTAATAAAGAGTACTTTCTTAGTGAAATGTTCTCTGGCTAGATTACATATATATTTAGCCAAATTTGCAAATCAGCCCAAGAGTAGAGGAGATTTTGCTCCTTCGTTTTAAAATTTATAATTATTTTTAAATACTTATATTAAGTTGGAAAAAATGAGTTAAAATGATGGTTAAACACAATCACTCCCCTTACTGAAAATTTATTTTTTTAAATATTTTATTTATTTATTTGACAGAGAGAGATCACAAGTAGGCAGAGAGTCAGGCAGAGAGAGAGGGGGGAGGGAAGCAGGCTCCCTGCTGAGCAGAGAGCCCCATGAGGGCTGATCCCAGGACCCTGAGATCATGACCTGAGCCAAAAGCAGAGGCTTAACTCACTGAGCCACCCAGGCACCCCTCCTTACTGAAAATTTAATGACAGTATTTTTATTAGTTTAGTTTCTCACTATTTACTAGATGATTATTTTTAACCTAAATGTATTCAGAGCTAAATTTTATCCCAAGGCTTAATATGTATAAAGACTTAAAACATTTAAATAATTAATGTAAAACTACATTAAAATTGTTTTTCTAAAAATGTTTAATAGCCACGGAAAGCCAGCCACCTACTAGTATATAATGTAGCTTCTTTGTAACCTTTGTCTCTTTTGACCCTTTTATCTGTGTTTATTTCAGTTTTCACAAAATTATATCATTTAGTTTTTTTTTTCTCTTGACTCTAGAATGCCACAATGTGTACTATTGCTAAAACATAAACATTAGTTGATCTTTCTTTTCCTGCCTTCCTTATTTCAGGGGGAAATAACAGTTATAATTCAGAGAAATCAGATAAACAATTACAAGTAAAAGATCTCCGGAGTTACTTAGCACATTCTGTTCTGCTGTTTTTGCTAGAAAATCCATTTGTGGTCTGAAATCCTTGGCATATAGCAGTTTAATGTATGCTTACATATCCGGGACATATGTGCCTTTCATTGGGAAAGGAAGCCAAGCTCAGTGTAAGAGACAAATGCTATTACAAGGCAAACTAAGTAGGAGAGACGCTACATGCCCAATCAACTTAGCCTCTGGGCTGTGAGCATCTTCAAAGTAGCCACAAGGGTATACACTTAGTCTGCAGCTGGTCCATGGAATTGCATTCCTATCCAGAAAATGATTGTCATAAAGCTTTGTCTTATTACTGAGAAATACACGCCAGCATAGCAGCTACAGAAAGAAGGTATCCAGGGAGAGCCTAACTGTTCAGGTAGATGCCTCTGGAAAGCAGCCAACAAGGCTGACTCAGGTGAAGGCTGCATTATTTATTTATGCTAAAAAGTGTAAAGAAGCTTGTTCTTGAGAATTTAATAAAGTGCTTTCATATAAGTTCCATTTCATTTTATTTTCTGTTATGTCCTTCAATCAGGATGAATGTACTCTATCTTCAGAAAAGGTCTGGATTTTTACACATTCCAAATAGAATTGTTAAAGAAATATCCAAGATCCTGCACTTCCTTTAGAATGTAACATCACATAAGAGCAGAATGGCAAAATGAACTCAGAATTGTGACTACTGTGATTTTTATAGATATTTCTTCTAGATCCTATTGATAATGGACCCTATTACATCACTCTTAAAGAAGTTGGTACTGAGCTGAGGCCTTAGTTACTTTTTAGTAGACCTAAATTTATTTTAAAACTCTAATAATGTTTTATAAGTTTTCAGAAAGACAAAGATGAACATATTTATGTGTAAAGAAATTACAATAATCAGAACTCAATAGATATGCAATTAGTATATTTATAAGAAGTAGAGAATTCAAGATATAACTCTAAATATTTTGAAAGTCTACAACTGATAGATGGCAAATATGTTATAAATATTGTAAAACACTAACCTCTTTTTCTCAATTAAGACAATATAAAATGTAGAAATATAGTAAAGACCAAGTATAGGTTTATAAACATAATTGAATATACAAAAGAGATATTCAGAAAGGATTTTGAGTTAGCAAAGACCAGATTGAAGCTCTTCCCAGTCATGATTTACTATTCTTAATTTTTATTCTAAGACAATTCCAGTCTGGCCATTGAATGAAAGTTTTGAGTCAGTCTTTTTCTCTATTGACATTTGAACATGATACAAAGTATTGAATATTCCAGATGAGGTAAGGTCTGTATTTGAATCCTTTCTAATTTTTTATAACCAGGGTTTAATTAAAGTTTTATTGACTACAGTCAGATAACATGAGGACCAAATTGGTTCAGACGCATTTACTTTCTTTATAGTCTTAACCGCTTGCACATGCCTGACCTGCCATTGTATATGGAATAGTAGAGATAGATCCATATAACATCACACAGTACAGTAGACACTTGCCAAAAACAACAGAATTCTTTCTAAATAGGTTATCTTTGAATATATTCTACCTGTGGTAGTAAACCTTATACAAAGACCAAGCAAGTCGATATTTTGATAATAATGTATAACCAATAAAGACTTGATCAAATCATGATTAGATAATCAAAATCTACTATTGAACTTATACTAAAGAGAGAAAAAGGGACCAATTAATAATTAACAGGATATATTTTAAGCTAAATATGAATCTTTTTCATATAAACTTTCTCTTTTTTTTAATTTAATTTTATTTTTTTCAATGTTCCAAAATTCATTGTCCATGCACCACACCCAGTGCTCTATGCAATACGTGTCCTCTATAATACCCACCACCAGGCTCACCCAACCCCCCCAACCCCTCCCCTCCAAAACCCTCAGTATGTTTCTCAGAGTCCACAGTCTCTCATGGTTTGTCTCCCCCTCTGATTTCCCCCATCTCACTTCTCCTCTCCATCTCCCAATGTCCTCTGTATTATTCCTATGCTCCACAAGTAAGTGAAACCATATGATACCTGACTCTCTCTGCTTGACTTATTTCACTCAGCATAAACCTTCTCAAAGATCGAATACGTCCATTACCAATTAATATAAGAGGGATCATAAACATAAAAGGACCAGACTTCAACTCCAACAGAATACCACACACAAACACACACGTACGCATGCATGCATGCACATGTACACACACACACACACACACACACACACACACACACACCAAGCAAACAATCATGGGAAAAACTAGTGCAAGTTCTGAAGACATTTCCTTAACTTGGTACAAATGTGTATGAAGATATCTTGAGGACAGTTGAAAGAACACTGACATCACAAGGACCACGGCTATCTATTCTCAACAGTCCTTGATTATAGTGGCCATTGATAAGTGACTGACTAAAACTTCTTGATTAATAAATTCCCCAGAAATAATTATATAGAAATAATGTCTGGTATTATTGAACAATGCTTAAAGAAAATGAAATAGCTTAATATGACTCAAATATGGGAAACTTAGTGAGAATTAGCTTTACATGATACAAGTAGATTATTGTGAAATTTTAAGATCATTGAATTATTGAAAAGATTTTGAATTTTAACATAAAGGCAGTAGGAGTTTTCATGTGGGAATTTTTTGTCTAGAAAATGCCATTATTAGTGTATATTGTGGAAAAGCAAATGGAAGAGAAGTATGAAGAGCACAATAGAGTAGGAGAGCCTGGAGTAGCGACTATAGGTGGGAATTCAGGTGAGAGATGGGGTCCTGTAGCTTGTGGCGCCAGTAGTTGAGATTTAGATAATACCCATGTTACATATCAACAACATATGTTTGCTGTGTAAGGAGAAATTTTATTTAATCATGACATCTATTATTTGTTTATTTTCTCTGCCTCCTTCTTGGCATTCAGGAAGGAGACAAACAACTTATAAGGGAAACATCCACACACCAGCTGAATTCAGAACGTTATGTGCATACTTTCAAAGATTTATCTAATTTCTCAGGAGCCATCAATGTCACCTATCGCTACTTAGCTGCCACACCTTTACAAAGAAAGCGTAAGTATCCCCACACTTTCAAATCAAGAACACATAAAGTATTTTTATTTTAAAATAATGACAACCAGCTTCATCTGTATCACAATAAAACTTCTGGGCATTACTAATATATATTATTTGGGAAGTAATTCAGTGTTTCTTCACAAATTACAATTACTGATCCAACTCCATTAATAGCCAAAAAAAAGAAACTTTTAAAATGCTTAATTGTAATATAAACTTTCAAACAGTTTGCTGTAGGACCATGTAGAAAGACTGAAAAAAATCAATTTATTTGAACTTTTAAAACTTCCCTTTTAAAAACAACCATTCTCATACCGATACAATTTCCAACTCTAATGCTTTGGTTTTTAATGACTTGCCACTGCTTTTGAAGTAGTGAGAGTCATTGTTTTAGTTTACCAAGGTGCTATAACCAATTACCACAAACGAGGTAGTTTAAAACAATGGATATTTATTCTCTCATATTTCTGGAGACCAGACGTTCAAAATCAAGGTGCTGGCAGAGCCACTCACCTGAAAGTTATAGGGGAGAATCTTTCCTCGACTCTTTCAGCTTTTGGTCACCCTTGGCATTCCTTAGTTTGTGGGGGCATAACTATCAGCCTCCGTTACCACAGGGTCTTCTTCCCTTGGTCTCTGTGTCTCTCTGTGTTCTCTCCTCCTCTTCAGGTATGACCAGTCATTGCATTTGGAGCCCACTCTAAATTCAATATGATTTATCTCAAGATCCTTAAATAATTATATCTGCAAAGACTTTATTTTCAAATAAGGTCACATTCTGAGGTTCCAGGTAGACCTCAATTTTTGGAGAAAACTAGTCAACTCACTATCAGTAGATTGGATCTGAGAAGTAACATACACACACTTAATGGATTTCAAGACATCATAGACTGTCGAAGGTATCATGATCTAATTAATGTGCCACTAAGAGACCATAAACATTATCAGTTTTAATTGTAAGATGCCATTAATTGTAATGTTCAACCTGATTTTAAAAATGTTTTTGTGTGAAAAATATGATTCATGAAATCAATGAAACCCAGTGATATCATGAATTTCTTAATAGGTCTGTGGGGACCACAGAAATTGAGTTCCCCATTAAGAAGTGTTTATACAAGTGAGTCTGTGATCACCAGGTGGAGGAAATTGTAACTTAACTTAATTCGGGCTTCTTTAGGTCTATTTCCCATTCATTCCTTCATCTCAAATGTCTATTGCTCTTAAGCTTTCTTCTAACTGCTTAAGATTGCCAATGTTTATTTTTATCTCCATCTGTTACACTACCTTTGTGCAAACATTACTGATTCTCCCATTCCATCCTAAGTTTACTAAAGTGTATTGGCACATATGCCACTGCTTTATACAAAGAAGTGATATAAAACACAGGGTAAACGCAGGGCACTCTGGATGTTGGCTCCACACTACTCACTGGGTGTTACACTTTGCAAGAGTGAATGCATCTCCCTGTGATTGAGTTTCCTTTCCTCATCTGCCAAGCAGAAACGATGACGAGTGCAAAACTATCCCAAAAGACGGTTAGAAATATTCAAGATACATATTACGGGCAAAATGCATAGATTGCTGTCTTTCATATAGAAAGTATTCTCATGGTATTGGCTATTCTAGGGCATTAGTAAAGGCTGGAATCTTGAGTCGAATGGTACCAGAGAACATATTCATTTTTCAAAAGAAGTTAGGGTCGTAAATCCAGGTATTTGAACAAAATGTGTAAATCTCTACCTCTCTGACAGCCTAGTGAGAAAGATTATTCTTGGAAAGGGCTTTTTCAGTATTGCATAAGTCACAACAAGTAGGTGTCTGTATTAAGACAGTGATCTTGGTAAATGTAAGCATTTTCCTATTTTCAAGTAGTAGTTAGGAAATTTTATTCAGTTCTGAATCATGGTGAGAATCAGAGCTTTATAAAGTGAAAATATTTCAAAGAAGAGACATCTACACTTCTTAGATGTAAACTGACATTTCATAAGGCTTTATTTTATTCCCTACAAATATCCAGTTTCTAATTTTAGATTTTAGGTGTCTAAATAAAAATTTCCTCACAGAAAATTGCTCTAAAATGTGTTTCAAAATAAGGAAAACAGTGATATTTATGTATTAGAAAATGTACTAAACATTCAAATAATAATGCAGTCTTTAAAAATAGTTTATAATTTTGTTTACATTCTAATTAACATTCTAGTAAATTTCAAAATAAAATTGTGAAGTCCAATTATTAATTTTTTAGTGCAAGATAATGACAGTGATCAAAAAGAAATGAAAATGTGACATGTCTTCTATGAAAAATTTAAAGATGATTAAAAGACTGAGTTATGCTTAATTTTCTTTTTTATCATTTGAGACTGATTTGTTCAGCCTTAACATCCTTCTCCTTTTGCATGTTTTAATAGTGTGGATATTACCCAAACATCTATCTTCTCTAATGGGCATTTATGAGCACATTAAGCTGCAAAACACCTTAAATAATATTTTTTATTTCACAAACAAATGTTTACATCAATAAGGCTCATATGTCATTGGGCTTAAGATGAATTTTTTTCCAAAGAAAAACCAATTATGTATTAAGTACTATAGCCTTTATATATTTAGCATAAGACTTCACTCACAAAATATGCGACATATATCATTTACTAGATATACCTAATATCATAGCAAACCCAAGGGGAAAAGATTTTTTTATATGTTATTCAAAACCTATTTCACATTTAATTTGTCTTCTTTCTGAATTCTTTTGTTCAGGCTTTCTTACAATTGGACTTTCATCAGTGAAACGAAAAAAAGGAAACTATTTACTTGAGACGATCAAGTCAATTTTTGAGCAATCCAGCTACGAAGAGTTGAAGGAAATTTCAGTGGTGGTTCACCTGGCAGACTTTAATTCATCCTGGCGTGATGTCATGGTCCAGGATATTACACAGAAATTTGCCCACCATATTATTGCAGGAAGATTAATAGTTATACATGCTCCAGAGGAATATTACCCAATCCTGGATGGCCTTAAAAGAAATTACAATGATCCAGAAGACAGAGTCAGATTTCGTTCTAAGCAAAATGTAGATTATGCCTTTCTGCTTAATTTTTGTGCCAATACTTCAGACTATTATGTAATGCTCGAAGATGACGTTCGATGTTCAAAAAATTTCTTAACTGCCATCAAGAAAGTCATTACATCCCTAGAAGGAACCTACTGGGTAACTCTTGAGTTCTCTAAACTTGGCTACATCGGAAAACTTTATCATTCTCATGATCTCCCACGTTTGGCACACTTTTTATTAATGTTTTATCAAGAAATGCCTTGTGATTGGCTATTGACTCATTTTCGGGGCCTTTTAGCTCAGAAAAATGTGATCCGTTTTAAACCATCTCTCTTTCAGCACATGGGTTATTATTCATCGTATAAAGGGACTGAGAATAAGCTGAAGGATGATGATTTTGAAGAAGAGTCATTTGACATCCCTGATAACCCTCCTGCAAATCTCTACACCAATATGAATGTTTTCGAAAATTATGAAGCAAGCAAGGCTTATAGTAGTGTTGATGAGTACTTTTGGGGGAAACCACCTTCAGTAGGAGATGTCTTTGTGATTATATTTGAGAATCCAATTTTAATTAAAAAAATTAAAGTGAGTACTGGAACAGAAGATCGGCAAAATGACATTTTACATCATGGAGCCCTAGATGTTGGGGAAAATGTTGTAGATTTCAAACAAAGTAAACACTGTGTTACTTACTTAAGACTAGGGGAATTCAAAAATGGAAACTTTGAAATGTCAGAGGTGAATCAAAAAATTCCATTTGACATAAATTGTATAAGGATATATGTTACCAAAACGCAAAAAGAATGGCTGATTATTAGGAGCATTAGCATTTGGACTTTTTAACCAATTAAATCGATATGTCCAGCTATCGAAGCAGGCTTTCCTGTTTCCTTTTTTGCTACCTTCCCTTTTGCTATTGTTTGTTGGAGGGAAAGCAATGGATGGGATATTTTCAAGGAAAAGTCTAATCATTTTGGCAGTTTTGATTCTCATATTGTCAACATAATTTTATTCTAATCCACACTTGTATTTATTTTAACTCCTAAAGTTTATGGTTAATGCTACTTTTATTTATATTTTTAATGTGTTGATGTTAGTACCAAAATTTTAATTAAATGTCAAAAATACGACATGAAAGATTTAAAGTGAGAAAATTTAGTTTGCTGGATGGTGAGTCTTGAAAAACAGTTGCCAACTGTGTGCACTTCCTCAAGAATTAAAACATTCATTATATCATCAGATAGCTTTTATTAAGCATCTATGTGAATATGCAGTTGGTTAGAATGATAATCTTTTTTTTTTATTGTAAACATAGATTTTCATAGACTTCTGTACATCTACAATGAATACCTCCTTATAGAAAGTGATGTCTTTACAACAGAATTTTGTGCATAGGTGGAGTGATGGAAAGAAAAAAAAAATGACTTAAAATATTTCTCCCCTGATCATTTATACAAAAAGGGGCATTGTTCATTGTATAGAAACACTTAACTGAGCACCTATTGTTAATAAATTTTCTGTGGGAAGCAGTCTTTTTCTAGATTCCCTTTTGCAAAAAGAATAGTTATGCTCAATATTTTCAAGTTATATTGGGTACCGACATTTAATAGAAGAAATTAGAGAAGGCCTATATTTAGTTCATTCTTACAAACATTTTCAGTAAATGCAGAAAATTTTTGAAATTGATTTTATATGTTTTGTATTAAAATTCATATAATTGAAATTGTAATCTATCATATACTTTTTTTGAAGTTTAAATGGACATCTTGTAAAGGAGAAAAGTAGGAAACATAGAAATCAGTTGATTTTTTTATATTCAGAGCTAGTTCCTAGTAAAGCCAAAGTGAGCGATCAGATGTTCTGATATCCAGATAGTACCCTTTCCCTTACGTAGAGATTACTCCTCACATAAATGATGCTTTCTGTTCACCTCTACCTAAGTCTCATATAGTAATTATGCTATCTTGAAGTGGCTAGTATGATTCTTCCATAAGTCATATTATCATTCTGTGGAGTAAGTCTAAAGTGTCTGAAATGATACTTTTGTATATGCACCCACATGGTGAGTAAACTTGACTAACTTTTACTAAAAGGAACTGGACAATTGTGCCTAAACCATGTGTCCTATTAAAGCATTTCAGGACACCTTAGTGCATCCTAAAGACATTGGTTGTCCAGAATGCCCTGAGCTTATCTGATCCTTTCTATCTTTTGACAAACAGCAGAGATGAAAGGGTTGACTATGACGATATGAAAAGTACTTCATGCATGTTTATGGAAAGGTTCAAATGCATATGTTTCTATAGATTGGAAAGTATTTATTCACGCTATCCAAATTGATTAAATTAGAAACTCATAAAAATTTGGGAATTTTTTTTTATTGAAACAATAGCTACTGTGTATTTTCTTTGCATCCAGATGCTATTGTATAATAAAGACAAAATATGAATCTATAAATATCAATATTTTGTTGCACAACTAAGTCTTAAAGTCATAAAAAATGAACACTGCCACTAAACTACAATTTTTGCCTTGATTTGGAGGGTATTTGCCAGATGTTTAAAGACATTCTATTTTCTTGGCTTTTCTCATCCTCTTTCATTAACTGGCTAATTGCATAATATAATATATCTCAGAAATTATAAGTAATCTTTTTTCTGTACTTTTAATGACAAAAGGTAACCAACAAAGACATATAATTTCAAGACTTAGGCAGACTCCATGAAGTGACTGTAAACTTCATAGAGTCAGCATAGGTTCTGAGAGTGTTTCCAAAGACCAGCCATTGACATCAGCTTGTGAAAATGCTTCCAGAAATATTGCTGAGGGTAACAATGATACTGAACGTTTGCTAGAGAATTATAAATGCAAAGTGATTTTAAGGAGTTGCATTTTACTTTAAACTTGATCTTTTCATTAGGAAAGCAGGTTTGAATAAGTTGGTCAGTCACCTAAGGATGTATTTATGTTTTCTTTATAGATTGAGTGGAGGTCAACTTTTTAAGGAAAGACTTTGACAAACAAAGCTTCTCCATTGGAGAACAAGGGGGCAGATAACCTTTCTCTTTATAAAAGATAATCTGACCAATCATTCTTTATATGAGTCAGTGTTGCATTTCCTGTATTTAAAAATTCTGAATATGGCTACTATAATCTTGTCTCAGAGGCATAGAGCAAAAAGTCAGTTATTAGGTTTAATTACATTCAATCTGTTATTAAGCATTATGTCTCATCAATGTCTCTTTGCAGTAAGTTTTTAAAAAATATATATATATTATTTTCTTTGTTACAAATATCCATTGAAAAACACTGGAATGTAATACAAAAGTTGAGTTATTTAATTGCTACCTGAATAAGATGCTGATAGAGTTCAAGCACAAAATATGATATGTACCTTAAATAACGTCTAAATTTGTTACTTTAAACTGACAAAAAAGCTTATTTACATTTAAATTTCTTCTCCTTGAAGGGAGCCTTTTCAGCATTTATAAACATCAAAGAAAAGCATTCAAGAAAGCACAATAAAAACATGGAAATTATACATTTTTGGAAAATACACGTTATAGCAGCAATAACGTGTCTGGATATAAAAATACATTAAAAGTGTTAATATAAGCACTGTTGCATTATCATCAAAAAATATAACTTTTATAAGATAGATATTTTCCACATATAAAAATATAATTTAAAAACCAAACATCATTTAGAACTACTTTTCTCACACAGCTACACTTATGAGACTAGAACATTCCATTTCTTACTGAACCATTATTCTCTGGGAATTTTTATAAAGCTATCATAGAAAAACTATGCTGTACAATAATGACACCCAAGTGAAACAAATATTTACAAATTACAAGGTATGGTAGGGAAAACACTTGCTATTCTAAATGTCTGTATGGCAAACGTCACTCAATATTCGCCAGTTTGTCAACATGTCCATTAGAACATGACACCCAGGATTATCCTGGAGAACTCTACTCTTGGTGTCATCCAGCATCTGAAGATAACAGTGTGATCCTCTTTCTTTACCTCATCAGTATTTCCATTAATACTGTTTAAGATTACATTTATTTTTATCACCATACTACTAATAAAGCTCACACTCAAATTTCATGACATTTATTTCTTGATCTCTTGATAAAACCTGATTTGCCATTTGGTAAATGTTCAATGGATTTTTTGAAGATTTCTTGTAAAATTTAGTATTAATTTCCAGAGAATTTCATTGTTTCTTTTGACTGATGACTCCCTACTTCCAGCTTTTAATTCCATCATTAAGTGTTTTAACATAACTCCCCAGCTTTCTGGTACCACAGATTTGGTATGTGTGCCTTTTGTCCTCTCAGGAAATACAGTTGAAGGGTCATGAACCCCTGAGTTTGAAACCCAGTTCTGCAATTACTGACCTCCAGATATGAGGAAAGTTATTTAACCTTTTTGAATCTTAGTTCCTTCATCTGTGAAGTTTAAATTATTTTACCTTGTAGGCTGTTAGAGCTGAAAAGAAGATAACAAAGTAATCAATTAAGAAATAAATGTTTCTTCTTTTTTTAGCCATGTTATATATGTTAAAAAAAAGGACATGGCCCTTCAAAACACTACTAGAGGCCTTCATCCTGAGCAATATCATCAACTTCATTATCCACTAGAAATGTCAACCAGAGCACTTTTTTATATTTATGTTGCTAAAGAATGTCATGTAGGCTTATGTAAATACCTTCCTAAATATCACAATCTATTGTATTCCTGTCATTCTATTACTTTAGAAACCTCATTCAAAATTTTTAACAGTTATTCCTAATATTCCCATTGTAAATATTAATGATTTCTATTTAAGAAATCTAAACTCATTTATTTTGAAAAATTAAGAAAGAAAGTCTTTTTGTAATTTCTAAAATTTTGCCCAGAATCTCCAGTAAGCTCACAGAGCTGGGGTTTGCCGAGTCTTTCTTTTTTCATTACCATATTTCTATTCTTTTGTTTATTTCCTTCCGTTACTGGCAAAAGTTATCAGTGCACTAGCCTATAAATTACCTGGGCTGTGATGTTCAAACTTGAAAACAGGCTTCCTTTCTCCTTGTCTACCTTGAGTTTCATTATTTAGATTTCTACTTTGAATTTTTTCTCTGTTAATTTCAGTATTATTCTTGGAAGGAAGAAGGTTGTAACAAAATGTAATTTGGTTAGTTCTTGCTCTTTGTCTTTTGTTTGCTTTTAACTTTTTGTTTTTGAATGTTCCAAAATTATTGTATCATTGCATATATGGGCGTGTGTATCTATGTCTAGATAGATCTGTGTGTGTGAGTATATCTATATGTATACATAGACATATGTGTGTATACATGTAGATATTACTATATGTGTATATATTTGAATACATGTGTATTTGTGTATGTGTGTGTGTGTTTGCGAGAGCAAGAGAAAAGAGGAAAAAAGGAGAAGGAGAGGTGTCTGTATCTTTAGCATTATTATTATTTTTTTTTTAGAATTTTTTTTAAATGTTTATTTATTTGATAGACAGAGATCACAAGGAGACAGAGAGGCAGGCAGAGAGAGAGAGAGGAGGAAGCAGGCTCCCTGCCGAGAAGAGAGCCCGATGTGCAGCTTGATCCCAGGACCCTGGGATCATGACCTGAGCTGAAGGCAGAGGCTTTAACCCACTGAGCCACCCAGGTACCCCTCTTTAGCATTATTTTTGACAAACACACCTCCACTTATTTTTGGCTTTAGTGTTCCTAAAACACTGCTTTCCTGCTTGTGTCTCCCTTCTGAACTGGCTTTTGATTATGTGTCCTTACATATTTTATACATCACATTCTCTGAAAAATCACAACTCATTAGAAATTTCTGGACATTTTAGATTCTTCAAATTCCTTAAAGCTTATTTGTTTGTTAGAAGATCCCAAATCTCTCAAAACAGGACCTTTAGAATTTAAGCTTTAAATTTATTTGTATTTCTTAACTATTGAAGATTCAAACATGCATTGCAAAGCATTCTCTTTCTAAACTGTAAATATTATGAAAACAAGGTCATACCATTCCAAAATTCTTGTCCCTTTCACCTCATTAATCTGCTCAGCCCAGTTACTCTGACTGAAGTCCAGAGTAGTACTCACTTCATTAATTCCAAAATCTTCTAAGATGGGTTAATGTTCTATTTTGAGAATTGAAATTGAAATGTAGATTTGAGGCCATTTCCTAGATAATTGGATCTAAACATCTATTCTGAAAAACATACATATTTACATATTTGAGATCAAAGTAGTTTATTTGAACTATTGCTTCAGTTTCCCATTTTGTTCTGTCTAGATATTCTCTTCAAAATTTTACCCAAAAATTCAATTTATTATGTGATAAAATGAGTAAGATTTTTACGCTCATAGAAAAATGTAATCACACTAAGAATAGAGTCTGTTCAGATTT